TAATTCCGATCGGGCAAAAAATAATATCATAATAAAGTTAAGTCTATCTGTAATACGTGTGTTATAGTGTCTTTACAATAAAGGTAAATTTGGCTAAATATAAGAGATTCAAAGATAGAAAGTGTACTTACAAAAGTAATAGGTCGAGCCACTTCAAAAAGTTCCCTTTATTTTGTCCAAAGCCAATTTTTCGTAAAGCCCATGGCGATTCTCTCTGACAGTAACAACGGTACATATTATTCAACTCGTTGTAATGGATTTACGTTCAGACAGTTTAAAACCACACCTGCATTCTCGAGTCTAATCGATAAAGCACGTTGCCGATACTCCTCCAGACGCTTTTAAATACGGAACCGTTCTTGCTTGCCCAATAATAGCTTATCTTTCCTCGAACTAGCCACCTAGCTCACTTCCTGCTTTAATTCAGGTTCAGTTGCGATGGTCGACGGTAAACCAAGTTGTTGCCAGTGTATAGGTCCTGGTTGCTCAAGGCATGACATTCTCCACCGAATAACTTGCAATCCAGTGGATTAGTATCGCGGAAATCAAGTGCGTTATCCAGAAAGCAAACATCTGAGACAAGGACTCCGCTTTAAAAGCAAGTTTAAATCGTTAGGATGAGTAATTGACGTCATGGCGGCCATATTTGTGTCCCAAAACAATGAAACGGCAGCCATGTTTGTGTCCCAAACCAGTCCTGTGGGAGTTGAAATCTTTTCTTATGTAAACGCTTTCTTTTGTTCCAATAAATTTGCATAGATGCTGGCCACGTGAGTGAAAACACTCTTCATACTAAAATCACAAAATCAATTACTGATCAAGGGTTTATACTCAACAAAAGTTGAAAAATGATAAAATTGTTTACGAAGTAAACCGTGGTTAACTGTCACGTTCAGTCGGTAAAGTTATTTCGCTGTTTATTCTGTTTCAGGAAAAGCGGCAACAGCGAACTTAAAACAGCCATGAAATCCTTATTTGAAAGCAAAGGAGCCAAAATTGAAAAACAATAGAGTTTTATAGTAATAAATAGAGACTAATTTGTATGTTTTGCTAGATCTTTCGTTAACAAAGTATTAAAAGGTGGCGCTGTATTTTTTGAGTCCAAAACCCATTCTTATGATACATATTTTGGCTCAAACCTGTATTGAGCAGATACCGAATACCAGAAGCGTTTGCCACCAAGCCGAAAATTCCGAAAAGTTTGTATTGGATGGAAGGTTAATGCTAAGGCCATTTTCTCGGAAATTCCAACCGAACATTTAGGACTTCGTTTTGAGGTCGCAACCTTCATTCCGGTCGGTATGGACAAAACAAAATGTTGCTGTACCATTTATCCTTCCCTGCGTACGTTCTAATCTCGCGCTTTACATATTCGTGCCTTTTTTATAAGATTCAAACCGTAACGCCGGGAAATGACTTTTCTCCGGTGAGCTTAAAAGGCCGCTTGCATGCCACTGTCTGTTGGTAAGTACACTAGGGAGGGCACTGCTCAATACTAGGTTTTGTCCGTGTTCCTGTAAGGGGACTTACGTACAAGCAAGAGCTCCCGAGTCATAATCCCTGAGTAGTGTCTGTGTTACACATTGGCCATCTTGAACAAGTAACTATCTTAGGGGTGTCAATCATAAAAAGGTGTTTGGCGTATTTTTAGTCCCTCATAGAGAGATGTCTACCTCACAGAAAAACCACTTTGAGAGGTGTTCATCTTCGAAAGGTGACGACTAACTGGGTCCAGTTTCAACATGAACGTGTTTCACCACGTCTTAGTAGTGTTAATTGTTTGCAGTGACGGATCCAGCGGAAGGGTCCGGGAGGCCCGCCCCGTCCCCCCCTTATTTTTAGACCAAACCAGGAGCCCATGACCGGGCACCCCCCCCCCTAATCTCAGGATCTGTATTACCGCCCCCACCCCAACTTATCTCAAGGTCTGGATCCGGTATTGGTTTGAATTGTTCCCTTATAACAGAGTGGGGCGAGGGACCAACCATCTCATCCAGAAGCTTTCCTGGAAAGAATGGGCTTTGGGCTGATTTAATTGTAAGGCAAGGTCCATACCTGGTGACCTGGGACCGTTTAATAGAGAAGCATATCGTTCATCAAAATTTTTCTGTATTTAAAAGGGATTTTTAGTCTTTTATACGTGCAAGAAAGTAGTATTCCAAAACATTGCGTGCGATCGTACTGTATATTTACAAACGTGTTATTTAATTTTGAACTAATGTTTGTCTAACAGATTTTCTGTTATCCTAACACCTCCTATAGTGGTTTCGTTAACTCTTTCACTCACAGAAAAGGCCAAATTCTAAATTGGACAGAAATCCCAAATTTCATTTTATAAAATTTGGGGAAACAAATAGTACAACGTAAGAGCACTGCCAAACAAAGAGGTTTCATTTGAATGGTCACACCAACGGATTTGGTCCGCAGACTAAACGTTAGAGCAACCTCATAGAATTCCATCGTTCCTTCTGGAGTGAAAGAGTTCAAGAAGCCTGCACTTTGCCTTGAGGTATACGATATACCTACTGCCATGACTCTTACTTAGTAAAAAGTAATGGTTTTAAATCATAATGAATACAATTCAAATAAAAATACATTCTTATATAAATACAGTTTGAAAAATAAACGATAGAATTAGAAGGGGATTTTTCAATCCCTTTGACTTTGTACTGAAACAAGATGCTTTTGCATAAAAGTGATACATCTAATATCTATCCATTTAGTAATGATTCTTCTAAGGAAAGAATTATTAACTATTTTTGTATAACTGTCGGAACGTAAAATTTTAGCGCTGTGAGATTACTTTGCGATTTGTTATCCTCACTGAATTGTTAAACCCATACCTGAATTAACCCTTTAAGCCCCAATATCCACATACAAATTCTCCAAACTGATCTCCATACATTTCCTTAAAGAATTAGTTGAGAGAATTTGATAAAAGATCGAAGCATTTTCCCTCAGGTGATCATTATGTTAATTCTCATAACCTAATCTCTTGACAATGTATGGATATCGTTAGGAGAAAATTGATGTTGGTCACTATTGGAACTTTTAAAGGGTTAAGCAGGTAGTGTAAGTGACTGAAATAAAATGGGAATATAGCAACAAACTTAACTCTCTTTCTTTTATCTGGATCTCAGGTTGCCTCCACAAAAATGAAAGGACCTTGAAAAATCTCGGTTTTTGTTGCAAAATGCATCAAAACTGCTTCTTTCCCATGCAGCCTTTTCAACTATCCCACACTGAGAACCTGTCCACACCAATGCCTTTTCATTTGAAATGAATACATTTGTGCATTTTGGCCCCTCTTTCAAACTAAAGCCATCAAAAGCCCTAACGTCGTAGCTTATCATGCGAGACATGTTGTCAGGAGAAAAAACGAGAATACCGATGGTGCAGTTGACGCAAGCGCAGTATGAAGTACAAATGTCCGAGAAAAGCCTGGGAGCAGAAACATATCGGGAGATAGACGTTTCTGATTAGCCTGAAATTCATCCGATTGCTTCGAGTCGTTTTCTCCTCTCAACAACGTCTGAATCGACGGGCCGTTAATGCCGTCCAGTGACGTCACTCACTACCCGAAAACCGGGTAGTGATTTTGATTGGTTGATTGTCTAAACATTCGCATAATTATGTATAATTATGAAAAATTTTAGCGGGATTGTCGCTTGATATTCAGCGGATCGCATTCCTGGCATCCTTCGTTTAGTTCAAACACTTTGATAAGCGCAATCTTTATCTTAAACAGCAAAATTGCCCTTGTCTTCGAAACTGAAATGCTAAATTGAACTGCGAACGAAGAATCATTGCGGAGAGTCGGTAGGTTTTTCAGTTAGAGCCGCTTTGTGGTTTCGGCGGCCGCTGATTTTGTTTACGCGAAGTTTTCTGAGATCAATGTTATAATTCGACCTTTTTGCTATTTTTACCGTCAAAAGTAATGATTCTGTTAGCTTTTCTTTCCTGTCTTCTTGTTTTTTTCTTCGTTAACGACCAAATAGCATCTTTTCAATTAAAGCAAATCATTGTGTTTTTGAACTACGTGTTCCGTGTGTGTGTCTATTTCATTGCGTGATTGCGACCGAGTTTGATTGTAGAATTAAGTACAACCGGAGTTGTACTGCATGCAGTTGATAGTTTGAACGTTAAACATGAATTAAGATCGAGAAAAATAAGGCAGTTCTGTATCATGCAAACATTTCCAAACGATATTTCTCGGTTTGTCACTTGAAAATAGTGTTTTAGTTATTGCATGAATTAAAGCAAAGGTCTAGGAATAGTGACGTCACTGGACGGCATTAACGGCCGGTCGATTCAGACGTTACTGAGGGAGTAATAACGACTCGAAGTAATCGGATGAAATTCAGGCTAGTTTTTGATGGCTTAGTGCCAAAAACGATTACGCTGAAATGCACCTGCGGGAGTCAAAGACGGGTTGGTGTGGACACAGCCTAAAAAAAAAAAAACACATCTTAGGATATAATATAGAGATTAAACCTGCTGGGCTAAAAGCGAAGCTCTCGTTAATATACTTATAATTTACTCCAACAAAAATAAAATCGTGTAATGCTAAACGGCGACGACAACGAAAACGGCAAAAATAAATCATAAGGTCTAATTGGGCAGCACACTTTTTGTACATTTCTTTTCCTTTGTTATTGCACAACTACAACGAAACTTCCTAGTTACAAGTTTTATCGAAGAAATGTATATGTGCTCGAACAAAAAGTTGTTGCTTGTCTTTCAGTTCGGTAAGCTGTCTCCGTTTACATTAAAGCGAGGTTTCAATAGTTTTGCATATATCATAATAACACCATCAGTTTTAAAATGAAACAAAATGAAATAGTTTGCTAGCCAGGACTCGCGCTCCTATTCCTTATATTTCGATTTGAATGTTTGATTTCGGGCACAAAACGTTACCGGGACTTTCGAGAAACGGGCCCCAGTTTCTACTCCCTATACTTAGCTGACATTTTTTCCCTCCAGGATTCGACCACCAACAGTTACAAAAGCTTCTTGAGTTGGATGGCTAAACCACGTTGCTGATACTCCATTGCTTGTACAAGGTCACCTAAGTCCTGGTAAATTGAAGCTAGGTTACCGTAGCTTGTTGCAACAGAAACATGATCAGCACCAAGCTTTTTGAGTTGGATGGCTAAACCACGTTGCTGATACTCCTTTGCTTGTTCAAGGTCACCTAAGTCCTGGTGAATTAAAGCTAGGTTACCGTAACTTGTTGCAACAGAAATATGTTCAGCACCAAGCTTCTTGAGTTGGATGGCTAAAGCAAGTTGCTGATACTCCTTTGCTTGTTCAAGGTCACCTAAGTCCTGGTGAATTAAAGCTAGGTTACCGTAGCTTGTTGCAACAAAAAAATGTTCAGCATCAAGCTTCTTGAGTTGGATGGCTAAACCACTTTGCTGATACTCCTTTGCTTGTTCAAGGTCACCTAAGGCCCTGTAAACTAAAGCAAGGTTACCGTAGCTTGTTGCAACACAAACATGTTCAGCACCAAGCTTTTTGAGTTCGATGGCTAAACCACGTTGCTGATACTCCTTTGCTTGTTCAAGGTCACCTAAGTCCTGGTGAATTGAAGCTAGGTTACCGTAGCTTATTGCAACAGAAACATGTTCAGCACCAAGTTTCTTGAGCTCGATGGCTAAACCACGTTGCTGATACTCCTTTGCTTGTTCAAGGTCACCTAAGGCTTTGTGAATTGAAGCTAGGTTACCGTAGCTTAATGCAACAGAAACATGTTCAGCACCAAGCTTCTTGAGTTCGATGGCTAAACCACGTTGCTGATACTCCTTTGCTTGTTTAAGGTCACCTAAGTGCTTGTGAATTGAAGCTAGGCTCCCGTAGCTTGTTGCAACAGAAACATGTTCAGCACCAAGCTTCTTAAGAAAGATGGCTAAAGCAAGTTGCTGATACTCCTTTGCTTGCTCAAGGTCACCGAGGGTTTGGTGAATTGTAGCTAGGTTATTGTAGCTTGTTGCAACAGAAACATGTTCAGCACCAAGCTTCTTGAGTTGAATGGCTAAACTACGTTGCTGATACTCCTTTGCTTGTTCAAGGTCACCTAAGTCCTGTTGAATTACAGCTAGGTTACTGTAGCTGGTTGCAACCCAAATATGTTCAGCACCAAGCTTCTTGAGTTGGATGGCTAAAGCTTTTTTTTGATACTCCTTTGCTTGTTCAAGGTCACCTAAGTCCAGGTGAATTAGAGCTAAGTCATTGCACCCAGATGCAACATCGACATTTTGGTCACCCAACAGCCTGATGCGAACAGCGAGAGAGTTTTCAAAGTATGTCTTTGCCACGTTAAATTCACAGTGCATTTTACATATGTTGCCAAGATTCGACAATTTTTCAGAAATGTCCTGAACATGGACTTGAGACATATTTCCTGTCATAATTACTTTATCAATTGGTACAATTAGGGCACTTACGTGCGGAATGATGTGCATGGTCTCCATCGTTCTATTTTCGTGTGGAATTGTGACTATAAATTTGTTAAACGATGTAACAGCTTCACTTACAACCTTCATCGTTTGATTCTCTGTACAGTCACTCATCACCCATTTCATTGCGTCGTGCACAACCTGATGTACACGAATGTAGCAGCAACTATCTCCTTCTTCCTCTAAAAGAAGCAGTGAACATCTTCTGAATCTCCTGCGAATTTGTTCCTTGTCCTCTTTATCATCGTGTTCGAGAACGTTTAAAAGGTAACTAACCGCTATGTCAACGTTTAATGGTTGTGGTGCGCACAGGGAAAGAAATCTGATTAGGTGTTCAAAAATCTTGTCGGATTTGACTTGTGCTTCGACAGCTAACGTTATTGCTGTAGTCATCGTATTTGGATAAATTGGGTTGGTGTCAGCAAGGGTATCCTCGGTCGTTTCTCGTTTTCCTTCTTGTAAAATCTTTAGGTATTCGTCCCAGCCAAAGTGCTTCGATGCTTTGTCCTGTCGAATGTCTTTGACAAACACAGCCGCGCCTGCTAAAGCAAGTGGCTGATAGTCCAGTTTCCGGGCAACGTTTTCTGCTAGTTCTATGTCGGGGACCCCAGAAAGCTTGGCCAACAAGGAAGTGGCATCGTAAGGATTCATTCCTTGGCTCACTGAAATGTGATTGATAAAAGAGTTTCTTAATGGGATGGACTTTGTATCCTGGGTTGTAATTAACAACTGACCTCTTGCCCACGTCTCGGTTCCAGACTGTGGTAGGTAATCATGTACAAAAGTCAGTTTAGTCACATTGTCCACCACCATTAGCCACGACGTGTAACACCCAATTTTTGCAGCAATAAGCATCTTGAGATTGGTAATCTTGTCCTCAATGTTACAATCCTTGGAGCTCAAGGTTTGAATCACTGAAAATTCTGGGCACTTTAACTGACGAGCAAAACTGGCATATGACTTCAAGAGTGAATCTTGACTGGCAGCGTTTATGGTCATCACAAAGGAAGTGCCTGGTATTTCTTTTACTTCATCAAAGAATCTTTCAGCTACGAGGCCAGCTAGTTGTGATTTGCCACTTCCGGGATTCCCTGAGATGTACAGATAACTCAACCTGTTCTCGTTGGCCTTCTTTAGTTCCTTTAGCTGATGTGCTATTTCTGCTACTTCCCATTCACGGCTTTCAATTTCGTGTGTAGGTTTAGGAGGGAGACTACAGAATGAAGGCGCTTCTTTCTGAAGCTGGTCTTCAAGAACCTGGCGCTGTTTCTCTTTTTCTTGAAGTTCTTGTCTAACATCGTCAACCTCTTTCAGAATGTTATCTAATTCGTCCGTTGGGAAAGTTCTCTGATTTTTTATCTCATCAATTTTTACAGTAGAGAGACCAAGCGCATCGAACGCAACTTCAACTTTGCCAACGGCATTCTGAAAATCTATCTCAGGGAGACTTCCCTGTAGTATGTGGGCGAATTCCTCGTTTCTAAATTTTCTAAGATCATCCACATTGTTTCTGACTGTTGATGCAAGGTAGGGCCCGACACAACCAGAGTAAAGGATGGCGTAAAACAGCATTGTGCAATCCCATTCCGCTCTGTTTCCATTTATCATGGTGGCCAAAAGACGAGCATTTCTTCTTTGATTTTTTGGAGACTCGCCGTTGTAAAAGTCCCTTCCATTCTGGGCCACATCTTTCCATTCTGCTAATGGTGTTGATTTATATTGATTGTCCCATTCACGTTTAAAAAGCTCTCTGAGGCCTTCGGCTAGTATATCAGTGGTTATATAACAAATTCTGAAGTAGTTCAGCTGTTCTTCGGTGTAGTTCTTTGAAAGGGCCATGTGTGAGAAAACGCTGAGGCTTGGAACCTTTGGAAAAATAAATCAAGGAACAAGAAACAACTTGATGAACGTTGTACATGTAGGGAAAAGAAATAAAGGATCTCTTAATATGATTTAAGCAAAATAACTTCTGTTGTTCTAAATTGTTGTTAAGTCGATCGATGTCAATCAGCAAAGTCTCATTTACAAAGTATAGCAGGTGTTCCTTGGATGAGTATTTTGAGAAACTTTTCAATCTACGCCAACAAGGAAAAAAATATGTTGCTCGAAAACGCGAAAATAGGTGACGTAAAATGCTTTACTTTTAAACTTGCGCTCGTTTTTGCATTTTAAGAATAGAATCAAAGATCTTTTAAGAGACATATGATAAGGAAGTCGACTATGGTTGAGGCACTGATGTGAATTGCAGCAACCACAGGTAGCCCAAGCTTACTATGAGAACCCGGAATTTATCGCCGCCGAGAGCGGAGCCGGTCAAGAGAGGTTTGCCAACCTTCTCTTCTCTTCTCTCTACGGTCATCTGGGTGAAAAACGGTCGATCAAAAATAGGCATTAAATAGTGCCTAGGAGGGCTGAGATACAGTCAGAATATAAAGAAAAGCAATTAGACGTTAAAGGTGAGCTTCAAAGCGATATTCAATGACACTTTGCTAATTTAGTGAGCAAAGAATATTTCTCCATACAACGTCTTATAATTTTCCTGCTGTACGAATAATTAATTAGCTTGATGGGTAGTGTTGTTTTCGGGTTCTTGGCATCCTGAGAGGTCTGAAACGCAGTCAACACACAAATAAATGTAACAAAATACTAAAAGGAAAAATTTAAAGTACGTTTCGCTCAGTTATGGAGAAATCGGATAATTTTCATACAACGTCTTATAACTGTTGTCGTATTTACGATTAATCAGCTAAGTAGGATAATGTTGTTCAGGGTTCTTATAGTAAACTTGGGCTACCTGTGCAGCAACATGATTAAAATCATGCCGAAATTCGTGTTAAAAAACTGTTTAATATTCATCATCTGTAAACTTCCTTAATATATTGTTACTTTTATCAATTTCCTTTGATAGTAATTGTATCCGTCGCCGTAATGTATGGTTCATCTTCAAAAACTTGTAATAGTGAGGCCTAGTTAACATCATGAGCTTTATAGTTTCCTTTAGGCCTCCTCGTCATTACTTTCTACACTCTGTATTTTTTTGTTTTTGTAATCATGTAATTTATCTGTATGGCAAAATAAATACAAAATCAGGATACAAATACAAAATATACTTTCCTTGAGCGCAAGCACGGTTTAGGAGTTGATTTAATTTGAAGAACGGAGTTAAGTCTTCTTTTACGTATTTTTTAAACAGGCTTTTTGTTCGTCTGTGGAGGATGGAAAGAAGGGCAAAGGAAATAATGAAAGCAAGAAAGAAAGGTTGAAATCGTTTCGCATCATGCGCTAAAAACAAAAATGCAGAACTCCTAACTAAATCTTAGACGTGTTGCAATCTCATTTGTAGCCATTTCCATGAATAGAGCAATTGGTGAAAAAACCGGTCCGAAAAGAAGGATTGTCTCTATCTTCTGGACACTAAAGCTTATTTAAGCGAAGACGGAAAGGATTTTTATTTAAAATTGTAAAAATAAGCCCACTGAGGCGTTTTCTGGGTGGCAGTAAGGTAATTGCAAAGTGCCAGCACTGAAACGTGACTGACTTTAATCTAAACAATTCGACATTACAATATCTTAAACCAGCGCACCTATTACGGATTTGAATTTGAAACATTGATCCGTTTCGCTTTGGCCCTGAAGAACTTAGACTGACAACAAACACAGTATTAACTTCGAAACCCTTGTAATTATGGGTTTATGGGTTTATCTGGGTTTCAATGTCAGATTTGGAAGTTTGTTCAAAAGAAGAAGGCATTACGATATGCATGGCGTATTTACACTTCTTGTAGTCTACTGTATTCAAGTGCTCAAGTGCGGAATGCATATTGACTCGCCGCTGTTCGCCTTCGTCTAACCATGCATATCAATGTCTTGTAACAAAAATAAATATGACCGTGAATTGATTCTTTACCCAGTTTAATGAACAATATGAAGAGCCATAATGGGACTTGACAATATTGAATTTTGGGAAATAGCAACAAAGATGTTTTTCTAAGAAGACTTTTTTTATGCTTGCTACAAAACTTAACCGCAAAAAACTCCTGGGGCGGAAACGGGATGAAAGGGGGGTGGGGATTTATTCATTGAGCACAATCTCGTTAAAGTAACATATGGTGCTGGTGTAGTAAATTAATTAGCTGGAATTCGCACAAAACGTTTTGGGATGGAATTGTCATCTGATTGGACCTAGGCGCAGCGAAAACTTTGAACTTGTTTTTGTTTTTTTAGCGTTATAGATCAAAAAGTAGCGGAAACGTTTGGAACCATCACTGAACCATTTCGTTTTGGGGTCATGTGCTTGCTTTCCGCGAAAAGGCGTAGACAAATCGCTTGCCTTATTCCAAGTATTCCTTTTGTGTTTCTTTTCCCAAAATAACGGCAGTAGATTTAAGAAAGGGTCCCTTTTATGAGTACCCGCGTTCATAGTATCATTTTTAGCCCAATGTATTTAAGTGCCCTACTGGATTATTTTCAAACATCATTGCCTTGTAAAACAGTTCCTTTATCTCTGTTGTACGTTGTCTGCACCTCAAGAGAAGCACACAATACGAGGCGCAGAACAACATATTATTCCTTGATTGAATTTTAAAAAAATAGATGTTTTTGGCCGTTCGGTTTAACCGGAGACGGTTCCAACACCAAATGGATCCTTTAATGCTACTGTGAAAGCAAACGTTAAACCCTCTTCCCTCACACCGGTCTTCTGTTTGTAATGCAAATATAGCAAGCAGTACACATACGGAACCGTTTAGTTCGATTCTGAAATGGCCGTCGCTAAACTACTTGTCTACTAATTGTACACTTACTTGGGGGTTTTCTCACCGTAGACTGTTGATATATTCCGGAATGAAATCAGTGAGATTCGTCAGATTCCAGCTCATGGAGAAAAGAGACGGACATGCCACTTCGAGTCGAAAGTGAAAGCAATCTGCGGTTCTTTACCGTGCTGTGACGTTTGTAGTGTTTCGCATGTTAAAATTTTTTGTCAAACATGCGCATCGACCCCTAACATACATTTTCCCTCAGCGCCCACGCAAAGGTTATCGTGGTTAATGAGTTCATTGTTTGAAATGAACACACGCCGTAGAGTCTAAAGTCAAAGCAACCTATTTTTATCATCCTGTTTTTGCTTCGAGTCAATGCTCATTTGATGACCGGCACGTATTTTTCTCCTCATAAACCCACCTCAAAGTAATGTTGACAACAATCTTGGACAGATCAGAATGGAACAACAAAGCCCACTCCACCCCAAGGATGAAGCCGCGCAAAAGCCAAAACGCGCCATTTTCCCATCCTTGAAATTTATTGGGAGGGGGGGGGGGGGGGGGGGCGGAAAAAATTTTCAATCTCGTCTGTCCTAGATTGTAGCTTGGTTAAATTCTGTCGGTAATAGTGGCCGAGGTATGGATTTTGTACTGCATCGCGGGGTTGTTTTCTCTTTGCGGCTGAGCCAGCTAAAAGAGTTTTTGGGTTGTACAAACTTACCTTGAAGCTTATCTCAAGCAGCTTTTGGCTTGTATACGGGGGAGGGAGGAGGGGTAGGTGGTCCAAATCTCCCGTCTCCCGTACCTTGCATTTCCGGCTCCTGTCCCTTCTTTCTTGGTTTTCTTACCGATTGCGAAATATTAAGCATTGTTGCAAAATTTATCTGGGTCACTTTCGCTTCCTCCCACCCCCCATAACCATTCCAGGCTCCCACCCCCTAGCCTGTTCCAGGAATTAAGAAAGCGCGATCATGCGCTCATATTTTCGCGTGCCTTTCTCAGTCTTACGTGTCTTCCCTACTATCTGAGAGCCTGGAACAGGCTTCCACCCTCTTGTCTTCCCCTCACGCGTGATACATTTTTTTAAGCCTATAGCGATGCCATGTAATTAGGGTACCTGGAAAAAATATCGTGCTTCCCCACACTCAACATGCTCATTGAAATCTATGCAGGGAAAGCATGTCTATAAAATGTAGCCTGCACCCCTGGCTTTTTTGCGAGGTGCATCACAATTGGTCACGTTATAGACTCTGTCTGTCAGAACGAATATAATTGGCTTGCCGGAAAATCAGCAGGAACTGTAAAGCTTAAAAAGACAAGCGAACGTGTAAATTTCAGGCTTATATCTAAAAAACAGAAATTATCGTATCGAAAGATTTTTGAAATATGGTCAGGAAACGAGCAGTGGTCTTTCAAGTTTGAAACAACAAAGAACGGTTGGAAGTTCAGGACATGTAGGGTAAAAAATAACTCTTTTTAAACATGGATTGATGGTAGTCGACCAAGGCACGTAGGGCCAGCTGTGGTACCACAGTTTGAAACGTGCGGAAAGAGAGTCAAAACAAGGTTTCATCCACCGCTAACCGTTATGTTTTCTGCTTCATCAACGCGCCCTCTGTCGGTTTATTTAGTATCCGAATTTTTCTCCGGACCGAGTTAGCTTTCCCTTTTCAGCGCTTACTACTCTTTCCAGGTCTGTTCACTGTGCCCCTGATGAGAATGACAGACCCTCTGAGCAGACTAGAACTTCTTAATTAACATCAATCTATGTTCCTATCTATATTAATGAGCTCACTGAAACTTAACAACAATGTACCATACCTATTTGTAAATTTAGTTCTTGTATGAGTATTTATTTATAAATGAGTATTTATCACTTACTTAATGCTATACATTCTAATTTAAAAAAAAAATATGTAACGTGTTTGTGGCTATTTTTTCCACAGCGACATGTAGTTTACGCTCAATGAACTAATGTGTGGTCATTGAACTACTGGTGTGGTTATTGAACTGTTGGGTGGTAATTGAACTAACAAAAAGAAAAAAACTACACAGGATAGTTACAATGACAGCTGTCACAAGGATTTTTACTGGAAGAACATCTCATATAAGCCATCAGGGTTCAGTGGTTCTACACATAAATCTTGTAAATTAAGAATTTTCACGATTGTCGTAAAATCTCTGCCTTGCACCTTACAGGCTTTGAATTTTCGGTCACGAATTCCTGTTTGTACTCTTTTTCTACTGCTCTCAGTTAGTATCTTTTTGAAGAGATAATTGATAGAAAAATTGGGTGCAAAGCCTTGTCACCCACATATACAAGATATTTAAGGGTTGCCATCTGGAAAAAATCTTATCATCGAGTAGCAATATAATGGTCTGGCAATTGGGATCCTTACAAACTGAAACATGCTCCTTCAATTTTTAAAAATTGAGGTAATTCATTTTCAGACTCAAAAATCAATTTCCTTGGTCTCCCGTCAGTTGATGAGCTGCCTCTTTCACCATAGAGCCTCCTGTTTGTTGATATACACCAAAACTCATTGAGTGTCAAGGAATAAACGACAGCTACTGGAAAGAAGAAGTTCTACCTCAAAAAGCTTTTGATATCTTACAAAATAGGTGTGTGTGTGTGGGGGGGTGGGGTGGGGTGAGGGGGTGTCCCAGTATACACGAGGGTTAGTTAAGACCCAATCTGTACTCGTTAACTATAATTCATTTCTGGGTTTTCAAGAGTTGGAAATTTTCCTTTCAATTTTCCATCGACCATTGATTCGATGGTTTATCACCCAAGCAGCCTGGTTTCCAGGCAACATGCGCCAAAAACAAAAATGCAGAACTCTTAACTACATCTTAGACGTGTTGCAATCTCATTTTTAGCCATTTCAATGAAAGTGCAATTGGTAAAACACTGGTCCGAAAAGAAGGATTGTCTCTACCTGCTGCTATTTAAAATTATGTAAAAATAAGCCCACTAAGGTTTTTTTCCGGGTGGCAGTAGGGTAATTAGGGGGTGTCCAAAAAACGGCTGCGAGGGGGACTAACTGAAGGCTGGACTTAATGCAGACAAATTTGCTACTTCTTGGATGCTTCTGAAAAGTTTTTATCACTCATTCGTTTTGGAAATGACCTTTATACACTCTACAACCGGCCAAAGGCAAATACACTCGCGCGATTTCGAAAAACCATGAAAACACATGGAATCAGTCGAACGCAATGTTGAACTCTTTTTGTAATTTCTAAAGCTACTTTCACGAAAACAGCGTTTAAACCAAAATTCGTCGATAGATTTTCTTTAAAGAATTTCAGAGTTGCAATTGATCAGTGTACTTTAAATCCTTGCATTTTGTGTCCATTGAAAACTTTTGAAGTTGTCTAACGTCGGCGCAAAATTGGGTGAGTATTGAAGCGATGTCATAGATCTGGCTAAGTTTTTGCTCTGGGATTTCCTATTGCCTCGAGTTAAGCACAACATCAAATACCTATGCAGCACGCGACAATTTACCGCGCTTGCTTGCCCTCCGTAATCTATTCGCTATTGTTTTCTCCCTTTCGACAGCAGTACCATATTTCAAGAAGATTTCAGAGTCCAACCAGGCACGGTAAATTCTCGCTTGCTGCATGGAAATTTCCCACTGTCATGTGATATTTCCCCCGATCGCGCAAAACATAATATCATAATAAAGTTAAGTCTATGTGTAATAGGTGTGTTATAATGTTTTTAAAATAATTAAAGGTCAATTTGGTTAAATATAAGAGATTCAAAGATGGAAAGTGTACCTACAAAAGTAATAGGTGGAGCCATCTTAAGAAGTTCTCTTTATTTTGGCCAAAGCCAATTTTTCGTAAAGCCCATGGTGATTCTCTCCGACAGTGACAACGGCACATATTATTCAACTCGTTGCAATGGATTTACGTTTAGACAGTTTAAAACCTCACCTGCATTCTCGAGTCTAATCGATAAAGCACGTTGCTGATACTCCTCCAGACGCTTTTAAATACGGAACCGTTCTTGCTTGCCCAATAATAGCTTATCTTTCCTCCAACTAGTGCACCAAGCTCATTTCCTCCTTTCATTCAGGTTGTTGCGGCGAGGGTCGACGGTAAACCAAGTTGTTGCCAGTGCGGGTCCTGGTTGCTCACGGAGTGTAACATTCTCCACCGAATAACTTGCTATCCAGTAGATTAGTATTGCGGAAATCAATTACGTTATTCAGAAAGCAAACATCTTAGACAAGGATTCTGCTTTAAAAGCAAGTTTAAATCTTTAAGATGAGTAATTGTGTGTTTTCACATGACGTCATGGCGGCCATATTTGTGTTCCAAAACAATGAAACGGCAGCCATGTTTGTGTCCCAAACCAGTCCTGTAGGAGTTGAACTCTTTTCTTATGTAAACGCTTTCTTTTGTTCCAATAAATTTGCATAGATGCTGGCCACGTGAGTGAAAACACTTTATATGCTAAAATCACAAAACCACGTGTCGGTTTTGTCATTTTGACTGATCGGGGGTTTATACTCAACAAAATTTGAAAAATGATAAAATTGTTTACAACGTAAACGGTGGTTAAGTGTAACGTTCAGTCCTAGTAAAGTTATTTCTCTGTTTATTCCGTTTCAGGAAAAGCGGGCAACAGCAAACTTAAAACAGCCATGAAATCCTTATTTGAAAGCAAAGGAGCCAAAAATTAAAAAACAATAGACTTTTATAGTAATATATAGAGACTAATTTGTATGTTTTGCTAGATCTTTCGTTAAGAAAGTATTAAACAGTGGCGCTGTATTTCGTAAGTCCAAAACCCATTCTTATGATATACATATTTTGGCTCAAACCTGTATTGAGCAGATACCGGATACCAGAAGCGCTTACCACCAAGCCGAAAATTCCGAAAAGTTTGGATGGAAGGTTAATGTTAAGGTCATTTTCTCGGAAATTCCAACCGAACATTTAGGACTTCGTTTTGAGGTCGTACCTTCATTCCGGTCGGTATGGACTAAACAAACTGTCGCTTGCCGTTTACCCTTCTCTGCGTTCAAACCCTTCGATTTTTATATTCGCGCCTTTTTTTATCAGATTCAAACGGTACATTTCTCCGGTGCG